CCAATACCGACTCTAGCTCAAGACCCCAGGAGGTTGAGGGAATATTCGACCGACACCAATTTCTATTATGAGCATTTAAATCTCCGAGGAAAACAACCCGATAAAATTTATATTTAGATTTCAAAACCGAAGCATATAAATCTTTGAAAAATGTTATAAATTTGTTCCAATTTTTCGGATTGAGAGGTCGATAAATAAGGAAGAAAAGGAAGCTAACCTCATTTGAAAAAACTACTCGAAAGGATAGTATCTCATGATCGGAATGTTCAAATTCAACAACTCTCGTGTAACTGACATCTTTCCGGATATAAACGGCACATCCTCCAGCTCTCTTATTTCTCACCTTCCTATCAAGTCTTTCTAAAGAATAATCCTGTAATTCGATTAAATTATCTGGAACCGAGCTAGGCAACCAGGTTTCAGTCAAACACAATACCCTTGGAGACTGAAGAGAAACGTATGCTTTTAACTGATCAAAATCACTAGTTATTGATCTAACATTAAACAAAGCTATTTTAGCCCTAACTGTCGCACTATTTCCTCCTACCGCCATTTTTTATATGAAACAACTAACCCTACATCCTCGAGTGATTTAGATAGTAGACGAAGAAAAAGAAGAAAAAAGGAGAGTGAAAAGGAAAAAAAGAAGCACAAAGAACACATGTATCAACATTTTCACCGAGATTGACCTCAACAAACATATACACCAAAAAGAAAAAGGAAGAAAAGAACGGTCATAAAAAGAAAGAAGATAACATGACTAATAACAATTTAAGATTTAAGTCATTCCGTCCCACTTACTTTCAACTCGTTTCATCGTTCTACTACTAATCGAATCTCGAAGAAAGACAAATCCCATACGAGTAGTGACACGTTTCTTTTCCTCACCATTCAATTTATTTCGAGTTTCATGAAATAGTTTAAGAGTTCCAGGAGTCAAATCTTCAGTGATAGTCATGCCAGTGTTTTGTTTCTTTAAATGACCAAGAGACGAAAGAACTGCCTGACGATCAAATCGAGAAATAAATCGCACAACAATAGCCGGCGGTCGAGTTGAAGCAGTTGATGTTGCTTGATTTAACGAAGAACGAGAGCGATGACAATATTCAATATTATTTCCTAACTGAACACCAAGGGTATTTTCGAAAAAGTCATATAGCCAATCACGTAAAGTAATATTATTTTCGTTTTGAATAAGTCGGACACCGTACACGCGAAGGCAAAAAGAACGACTATATCGTTGTGCTTCTTCAATATCCGAATCGTGAGATTTAATCTTGGTCTCGACAACATCAACTCATTCATTCAGTTTAGAAATGGCCAAAGCAAAATCATTTTGTACTACATTAACCACCTGTTCTACTTGCAATGCTTGATTGTTGTCTTCTGCCGTCTTAGCCATAGCAGCGATTTGACTCAAGAGAGATGGATCTCGTTGGAAGAGATCGAAAAGTGTAGATCGAGCTTGATCCAATTCTTCGTTTTTTAATTTCTTATTATCAATTGGCGAAGAGTCACCTGATGAAAGAGGATGTTTCGCCGAGGTGGAAGAAACTA